TGTTGAATTAACATTTCTTTTTGTGGTGAAGGGGAGCCCATTTTGTGCAGTGCTGCTTATCCCTTACCACGGGGGTGGAGCCGTAGTCCTTTTCTTTCCTCCTCTTTTTGGCTAAAATGGCAGACACCTAAGACATATGAGTTTTTCCGAGCAAAAGCAGCCGTGTAGGTAGTTAGGTGAGTTTTTCCAATTATGAGACTGACATCACTTTTTCCATACAAAGCTAAATACCAAACGTGTCAACCAACTCTTGGATAAAGAAAATTTTTGCACAATTTTTATTCAAATTTTCATGGAATCTTGAGAAAAAAAGTAAAGGAATGATCAATGGGATCAAGATTTCATGGATTCTGCAAAAAAGTGTTCAAATTTTTTTAATGTGGTGCCTTGGACTATGGGGCACTTCCATTCCATTTGAGTGTTTTTGAAGAGATGGCTACGGTTGTGAACAAATTAATTAAAGAAATATGGACCCAAAGAGCAGCCGAAAAAAGAACATACCATGTGGTTGCTAATGCAACCAAAGTCTTATTTCAGCGACCGTAAAAGGACATGATCAAGCACAACAACAAAGTTGCTGCTGCTATCTTAGAAGATATGCCGTGTGGAACTCAAATTTTGAAAATACTTGGCAAAGACTTTACCTGTTTTTTTTACTTGTAAATAAACTCCAATTCCCTTAGACTAAGACTAGCAAAATCCTTCCGTACTGTTTTTCTCTTCACGATCTGGACTTGTTCTACGAATGAAGCTAAAAAGATTGACCCAATTGTTTGAGTTTTGTGTGTTTCACCTTCACTTCACTGACATGCTCTTCACACCCAGTGAAAAAAAAAAAACACAGAGAAGAGGAAAAGTAACAATTGAACTCTTGCAATTCCCCGAAGAAAATAGAGCCTGCATAATAGCGTATAAGATATAGGGTTCATTCATTACTAACTATCAATTGATTTCGAGTTAGATGCGTTAATTCTATCCTTAGAAAAAAAAAACAGAGAAGAGGAAAAGTAACAATTGAACTCTTGCAATTCCCCAAAGAAAATGAGCCTCGCATAATAGTGTATAAGATATCGGGCATCTTCATTCATTACTAATTATCAATTGATTTCGAGTTAGATGCGTTAATTCTATCCTTAGAAAAACAAAAATAGAGAAGAGGAAAAGTAACAATTGAACTCTTGCAATTCCCCAAAGAAAATAGAGCCTCGCATAATAGTGTACAAAATATCGGGCATCTTCATTCATTACTAACTATCAATTGAGTTCGAGTTAGATGCGTTAATTCAATCCTTAGAGAGAAATAAATAATAAGGAGAAACCCTAAAAAGACAAAACAATATCGGCAACTAGGCTGTTAGTGCTTATTGGAGCCGAGTGAAATATGGCTCTGCCTTTTCTTGTCCAATGTGCCGGTCCTTACGTACACTCCAAAGACTATGAAGAGCTCTGTGCTAATTGAGGTCATACATGTATGTCATTTTCATATGCTTTCGGCCTTTTATCCACAGAGATCTGCAAGAACCAACGGAGCTGGGTTGCTTCCCAAGAAGGGTGCCCAACACTAAACAGTCTCCTTTCTGTTAGAGGGTCATTGATGAGTCCACACCAAGGCAACTTCTTGGTAGCTTCATTTTTGGTCTTACCTTGTTTGACATTCCAAGAAAATTATACCCAAGCAAGCAAACATGGTAGCCTATCTCTTGTGAAAGGAGCTTGTAGCTTAGGTCGTTAAAAATAGTTATCCATACACGTTTCGACTTCATTTGGTGGCCCGATTTGGATTGGATTGGATTGGAGTTGAGTCCAAACTAGTTTTTATAATATGTTGAGTTGTTATCCATTTTAACAAATACAGACTAAGCATGCCAAAAACGGCTAAGACTCTTATCTATTTTAATTCATATGGTCTATTCCAGTCCGTTGTCGTAGCTTCATTTTTGGTCTTACCTTGTTTGACATTCCAAGAAAATTATACCCAAGCAAGCAAACATGGTAGCCTATCTCTTGTGAAAGGAGCCTGTAGCTTAGGTGGTTAAAAATAGTTATCCATATACGTTTCGACTTTGTTTGGTGGCCCGATTTGGATTGGATTGGAGTTGAGTCCAAACTAGTCTTCACAATATGTTGAATTGTTATCCATTTTAACAAATACAGACTAAGCACACTAAACAACGGCTAAGACTCTTATTTATTTTAATTGTTATGGTCTATTCCAGTCCATTGTCCATTGTATGGATGGCAATTTCCTATTAAGTAATGGGTCAGTTTTTACTTTTTCTATCTTGAAAACCATTCTCATTAACTTCGTAATTTGTTGCACAGAAAGCCTTAGAAGATGGAGCCCATCCACAAAGAAGGCTTCAAATTGAGATATGAACCCAACCAAAACCCAAGTTCAACTCATATCAAGCCCAATCCGGAATTGGGTCCCGTCAATTGATTTTCAACTATCTCCATCAAGATTCAAAGATGCAACACTCAGATTTACTGGACCCAAATAGTAAAAGAAGCCATGACGCTTTCCTTGTTTACTCTTCTAGCAAGGAAATAAAAAAAGTTTTATTGGGCTTTGAGGTCGGGGGAAATGGGAGCCTAGAATCTCAAGTAGGAATTCAACCCAATCAAAATCTGGTGCATTAAATTTGGTTTTGCCAGGGAACTCATCACTAGGAAAATGCAGGCCAGGCCAGGCCAGGCGGGCTTCAGGCAGCCTAGAATTTCTCCAGCAGCAAGCAAAGCAAGCAACATGCTTTTGTCTTTGGCAACAACGACACTGCCCCATGTTTCTTAATGAACGCACCACCCTACATCTATATTCTATACACTAGCTAGACTTCCTATTAGTAGCTAGCTACATAAATTACCATTAATAGTAATACAATTATTTTTCCAAAAAAAGGGAAAAAAGTAAATAAATAGTATGTGAAAGTGACGTGGGGGATGATGTCAGGGTGATGATAGATAACATTGTGGCATGCACGAAACATGAATGCTTGTGCCCAAGCGTGCAAGACCGCTACTGCCAGTTTCATCATCATGCTCTCGTTCGTTTAGACCGGACCAAACCCAAATATTTTTTGTTTTTTGTTTTTATTTTCATTTAGGCATTTAGACATTTAAACATTTATAATAAATAATAATAATAATTGATTATTAAAAGGGTAATTGTGGAAAAAAGAAAATGATGGAGGAGGGAGGTTATTTGTCCTGCTCACCACCCGGCAAACGGACGTCAACTGCCGTTTTCTTGTCCCCTAATCACACTGCCAACCCCTGTTTTTCTCTGTCCCCCTCCCTACTCTCTCTCCCCCATTAATTGCCCCTTGCGTCACCGTCTCACCCACTCCATCCATGCGCTTTCTGATTTGTTTCCCCATTTTGTCCCTAGTAATTTCGTAAAATCTCAACGAAATCCACCATTTAATATTGATTTCTTCAAGCAACCATTTAATATTAAGATTAAATAGCAATGCAAGTTGCGAAAACCTAGGACATAAATCATACAAAACTAGTTAATAATGGATATCTGGTTTGATGATCAAATCGCATTCCTGGTTTAATGCCTTGGTTTACTCTTCTGAATGCGAAAGACTTTGTCGCCACTTACTTATGTTTTGCTTTATCTCTTAAATTAATTGTCAATTATATAGTATGCAACATTAATTTTCAGTAATCAAACTTTTTAATTTTTCAAAGGCCTAGAGACAACGTCTTCGGTGAGATTGGCTTGGTTAGACTTTAGACTTTCGACTTTCGACTAGTGTAGGAAAAGGTTGGGGACGAGTAGGGTTATTCAACGTAAAAGCTAGAGGGATACGGTGAGAGTTTATGGTGCATGAGTCAATGTTTGCAGTGGCTTGGTACGCGAGGCTCGAGGTGGTAGGGCTTAGGAGGTGTGAAAGTGGATAAACTAGAGGGGAGACGGATTTCACACACACATTCATTTTTAATTTTTATTTTGCAACATTTATGTAACTATGATCAATTATATAGTATTCAACATTAATTTTTAATTTATTTCCATTGCCTTTTACTTTATTAAATGTTATTTTCTTTTAATTTTTATTTTGCAAGACTACAAGAACTAAAATACAAGTTGATGGACTAATATGTAACCCATGAATAAGTTTAACCTCATTTACCCTTAAATTGAAAATTTTACAAAAGTGTCGGAAATAACTAAAGGTATGACATATGGTCAAGTTGAAGGACTATATTAACTAAAATTGAGTTGGAAGACTAAGGCATGTTGCACGGACACTCCACTAAGCCCAGTGTTAGACACTCGGACACCTTTGTCCAACAATCAACGTCGTGTTCATGGTCAAGACACTCGCTGGACACGAGTCAACTAATGTGTTAATTCAATTATAATTCATATAAATTTAATAAAATGCATTTGAAAGACTTGAAAGACTTGAAATTCACTGTATTGTATTGTAAAATTGAAGTATGAACATAAATATTTTATTTTTTAGAAATATATAAGTATTATTATAATTTATTTTTTAATTATTGTGTCCTCGTGCCTATATCGCATATCCATGTCGCTGTATCCATATCCTTGCAACATGTATACCTCATTATAGTCGAGGAAATGAGATTTTTATAAATTAAAAAAAAAAAGGAGCAATAAGATAAAATAATTGAACAAAAAGAGAAAAAGCTTTATAATATTTTGACACGAGCATGCCTTAAAAGCCCTTGTAACCAAACCGTCTATGCGCCAAAATTCTATTTGTTTGCTAATTTCCGAAACTAAAAAGACCAGACAGAAAATAGTATAAAGTTCTCACTGGAACCAAGAATTGACGGCTCGGATTCATTAAATTTAGTCAATCTCAGCCTTCAATCCTCCCATTCCTGTCCCAGATCGGCGCCGTGCAAAACCAGCCGGTCCGTATTTCGCAGACAAAGCATATATCAAAATAATAAAAAAAGCCAACCTTTTATCCATATTTTCGGTTCTGCCCCTACTTGCTTTTTTTTCTTTTCAAAAGAAAAAACAAATCACTATTGTGAGCTTCGAGTTCCTCGGCGAGCTCAGCCTAAAACATAAAGCTTTTGTTGCTTTCTGCTTAATGGAAGGGTCTTAAGCTCTCTCTCTCTCTCTCTCTGCTCTGCTTTCTTGCTTTGTTTGCATTTTCTTTGAGATTTCAGTAAAGGGTTCGTCGGACTTCTCTTCTTTGTCTGATCAACACAAGTTCCTCCCCAGGTAGGTGCTACGAATATTCCTTCTTTTTTATTTTTTGTTTTCATGCTTAAAAGCTTCTTTTATACTCTTATTACTTGTATGTAATTTGGAATATGGTTCAAGCTAAGCTTTTTTTGCTTGTTTGAATTCTGGGTCTTTGTGTTCTGAGATCTTGATACTGTCTAAGTTTGAGTTCGTTCTGGAAATTAGTCTTCTTTGATTTCTCTGTAATTACACCTTTCTGGGTTGGTTTTTGTTTTTGGGTTTTTATTTTTTAACTTCTGCATTTCACTGTTCATTATTTCAGGTCAAGGTCTCGAGCATTTTCAGTTTACTCACCCCTATTTTTTTTTTTTTGTTGGATTTTTTTAGCTTGTAGTGGATCTTACCATTTTCCCTGTTTTTATAGACAGAAAAAATGTCTTACTTTTTTCCGTTGTCTGTTTGGTTTCCTGGAAAAATTGGGGAAATGAGAGAAAAGGAGATTTCAAGTTTTTAAGAAAAGGTAAAGCTTAGCTCATGCAGACAAATGCTACAAAGCCGAGGTGACCTTTTTCCTATTAAAGGAAGTAGAAAAACGCGGTTCTTCTTTTCAGTTTGTTTTTATTGTGCATTTGTTTTGGCTTTTGGATGGAACGTTGAAATTTTATTACAGCTAGTTTCTTATAAGCTTCTGAAACTGACATTCTGGAGCTTACTTCTGGTTTTTGTTACAACCCTTCATTGGTGGTGAATTTACTTTTCCATTTTTGGTATGATCTTTTGTATAAGTTTCTTCTTGATTTTCTTCTTGATGTTCTTTTGTATAAGTTTCTTCTTGGTTCATTTCTATGTTTTCTTTTTTGGGCTTTAGAAAACAATACTCTTGAACCTTGATTTCTATGTTTTCTGAAGCCTTATGATTATATGTGCAGTACCAGTGGCCACTGGTCCAAGCTGTCTCTTTTACCCTTTCATGAACCTAGTGGCTAGAGCTTTATGTGGTGCTAAAAATTTCATTAATTTTCTGCTAGGCACTGTTTTTTTATAGCAGGAAGTTTGCCTACTGAAAAACCTTTATTCATCCCCTCAATTATTTTAGTGGGGCAATCATGATGAGAAAATACATGATGTCCAATCGATCAAAATTTCCAGAACTCTATTATTACTTTTTGTGAATTTAATTTCCATCAGATGAAATAGTTAGACCTTTAATCAGTGTACCTTCCCCATCTTGTGCTGTCAGGATTTTCATGTTTTGGTTTCAGTTTTGGTTTTGCAAGCAATAGATCTGATAATTTTTTAAATTTTGTTTTCATTTAAAGCAGTGTAGTTTCCATTTAAAGCAGTGTAGTTTCTAATGTCTCCACCACTGTTGGGTGGTGAGGAGGAAGGACAGAGCAATGGATCTATGGTAGCTTCTTCACGCTCTATGGACTGTATCTCCCATAATGGGTCTGGACTGAAAGAACGCAACTACCTTGGGTTGTCAGATTGTTCTTCGGTTGACAGCTCCACGGTTTCGAGCTTGTCAGAAGAAAAGAAGAACAAGCTGAATTTTAAGGCCACTGAGTTGAGGCTTGGTCTTCCTGGATCCCAATCACCAGAACGGGAACCAGATCTTTGCTTGCTGAGCCCAGGAAAACTTGACGAGAAGCCACTGTTTCCTTTGCTTCCGTCAAAAGATGGAATCTGCTCCTCATCACAGAAGAATGTTGTTTCAGGCAACAAAAGGGGCTTTGCTGACACCATGGATGGATTCTCAGAGGTGAAAAGTTCTGTTTATACTGAAGGAAATTGGATGTTTCATGCAGCTGGTTCTGATTCTGAATCTCCAGAATCTTTCTATGTTTTCTTTTTTGGGCTTTAGAAAACAATACTCTTGAACCTTGATTTCTATGTTTTCTGAAGCCTTATGATTATAGGTGCAGTACCAGTGGCCACTGGTCCAAGCTGTCTCTTTTACCCTTTCATGAACCTAGTGGCTAGAGATTTATGTGGTGCTAAAAATTTCATTAATTTTCTGCTAGGCACTGTTTTTTTTAGCAGGAAGTTTGCCTACTGAAAAATCTTTATTCATCCCCTCAATTATTTTAGTGGGGCAATCATGATGAGAAAATACATGATGTCCAATCGAACAAAATTTCCAGAACTCTATTATTACTTTTTGTGAATTTAATTTCCATCAGATGAAATAGTTAGACCTTTAATCAGTGTACCTTCCCCATCTTGTGCTGTCAGGATTTTCATGTTTTGGTTTCAGTGTTGGTTTGGCAAGCAATAGATCTGATAATTTTTTTAATTTTGTTTTCATTTAAAGCAGTGTAGTTTCCATTTAAAGCAGTGTAGTTTCTAATGTCTCCACCACTGTTGGGTGGTGAGGAGGAAGGACAGAGCAATGGATCTATGGTAGCTTCTTCACGCTCTATGGACTGTATCTCCCATAATGGGTCTGGACTGAAAGAACGCAACTACCTTGGGTTGTCAGATTGTTCTTCGGTTGACAGCTCCACGGTTTCGAGCTTGTCAGAAGAAAAGAAGAACAAGCTGAATTTTAAGGCCACTGAGTTGAGGCTTGGTCTTCCTGGATCCCAATCACCAGAACGGGAACCAGATCTTTGCTTGCTGAGCCCAGGAAAACTTGACGAGAAGCCACTGTTTCCTTTGCTTCCGTCAAAAGATGGAATCTGCTCCTCATCACAGAAGAATGTTGTTTCAGGCAACAAAAGGGGCTTTGCTGACACCATGGATGGATTCTCAGAGGTGAAAAGTTCTGTTTATACTGAAGGAAATTGGATGTTTCATGCAGCTGGTTCTGATTCTGAATCTCCAGAATCTGTTGGACAAGGGAAGTTTCCTGTGAATTCAATCAATGTAATGCTATCATCCAGGCCTTCTGGGACTCAGCCAACCATGACTAAAGAGGTGCTCACTAAAGTTTTACAAGAACAGTCTCATGCTACGAATGGAGCCAGCCATAACCCTTTGGGTGCTTCTAACAACAGCAGTGCCCCAGCTGCTAAGTAAGATGAAATTTTCATTTGAGGATTGTGAAGCTTTATATGAAAGTTGTGGTTGTTTGTAATCGTATCTTCTTCTTTGTTTGACAGGGCACAAGTTGTTGGGTGGCCTCCAATTAGATCATTTAGGAAAAATTCTTTAGCCACCACCTCAAAGAATAATGACGAAGTTAATGGAAAACCTGGTCCTGGTGGTCTTTTTGTCAAGGTCAGCATGGATGGTGCTCCCTACTTGAGGAAGGTAGATCTGAGAACCTACTCTACATATCAAGAGCTGTCTTCTGCTCTCGAAAAGATGTTCAGCTGTTTTACCATAGGTGAACTATTGCTCTAGTTTATTTAATAGTAATATTGTGCCTTTATTTTCTTTTTCTTATCAATGTGGTCATTTCATGCTTGGATATTGATGGATGTTCGCAATCTGAGATTTCTGAAGTGCAAACAGAGAAAACCACCCCATTTTCTGCATGAACCCAATTTGTGCATTTTTTAATTGTGATTTCAGGGCAATATGGATCCCATGGAGCTCCGGGAAGGGAAAGACTGAGTGAGAGTAAGCTGAGAGATCTTCTTCATGGATCAGAATATGTGCTTACATATGAGGATAAGGATGGTGACTGGATGCTTGTTGGGGATGTCCCATGGGAGTAAGTTCTGATTTACCCGTTTAGTGTTCCAATATTTCTCTTATTGCTTTCCATCCACAAAGACAATTTTTTAAACTATTTAGTGTAGAAACATTGTTGCTTTATTCCAAAAGTTAAGCTTTTCATTCGAAGTTATATTTGTCATATCATTTGAATGTATAAATGTTATAGCCATTTTTACTTAACTAACAGTAAAAATTTGATGTATGTTGGTAAAATTTACATGTATGGTTGAGTGAGGAATATTATAGTTCACTTGTGAAGGTGAGTGATACTAGAAGGGCGAGAGATTTATCAATGAAATACTGCATTACCCACCTCATGTCAGGAGGGTGATAGTATATTGTACATTTTAAACCATCCAAGAAACTAGAGATTTGAGATTCTGAAGCATCTCAAGGATTGCATGGTCTGCTTTAGTCTACATTCAAATCCTCTATCTTTGATTTTTACATTAATTGTGTCCATGCGATGAGAATGTATGCAAGTTCATTGATCATATGATGTGGGGTGCAAGATGGGATGGACAACAAAGTTATCGTGCAACTTTTATTTTCCTATTTACAGAGAGAGAAAGCCACTGTGACCAAGGATGTGAGGTTGACCATCATAGTATCATTTACTGAGTTGATGGAAATATGAGAATATGCACGAATCTTGTTTCATTGACATACAATATTTTTACCTCAGATGAATTCTTGCATAAACTATTTAAATTATACATGTTATACCTCAATTTCCATATTCATTTGTATATGTTTTCTATATTAATAATGATTAAAATAAAAATAATTATAAATAAATAAATAAAAGGAAGGTCCATTTGTAGTATTAAAGTTTCAAAATTGACAAGTTTTTAATTGATAAGCTCACTCATAAATTTTTGAAAATGTGATAGTAGAAAGACTTCAACTAGTTACTTTATGATAAACTACCAACTCAAGAAACCTTGTTCCATATGCTAAAATTAAGTTCTTCTGTTTTGTATAATTTATATCCTTCTATGGATGCAAAAATGTTCAAGAGTTTTAAGTATTAACAGCAATCATGAGTAGTCTCATTTTTCTCAGACAAAAGAGGAAGGGAAATAATGGGGAAAAAAACAAAGGCAAGAAAAGTAGTTCATTCTAATATCATGTATCCATAGGCCATGATACTCATCTCAGGCATTTTTATTTTTGATTTATGTAATGCATCTGCGATTTTAACTCCAATTCGACTTTTAACAGGATGTTTATTGATTCGTGCAAGAGGTTGAAGATAATGAAGGGCTCCGATGCCATTGGCTTAGGTTTGTCTTTAATGATCTCCCCTACTACTATTTGCACTGATTGGGCTGATAATAATCATCTTATGTGGTAAAAAAAATGTCATATTAGGTTTGGGAGAGTGTTTATGTCTGTAAACAAAAGGGTAGTAAGATGCATTTCTAAGTTTTACCAAATTTATCTTGTTGGCGTGCTCAGCTGGACCAGTTGATAAATATTTTCATGGCCTTATCAGATGGATATTGGGAATTAAATGATTATAAAACAATATAGGCTGAAATTTTTTTAGGCAGTGAATGAGCGGTGAATTTTGTAGGCTGGTTTGTTGAGGATCGGTATCCAGCAATGAATAGATCTGTCTTAGTTGACTTGAATGCTAAGCAAAGAAGATCATGTGATATAGGAGAATCTGTTTTGACTTTCCGAGCCCTGCAGTGAAAGGGTATAACAAGTAAAGTTGGTATTTTGACATGAACTATTTTCTAGTGGAGTTCATCTAAGGTTGAATTTGACAGCATAAATGATGTTTGCAATATCTGTTCGAGGTAGAATGCATTGAAGTGATGGTTTCAGTTTCATATGGTAAATTGTACTCTTATACTGCCCTTTCTTTGTTGGTTTTTTTCGCAACTTTATTTATCATTACAGTAGACTTTTGCATTTGTTAGTGCTAGTTGCATATTTGCAATGCCACTTAAGGAAATACTGCTTCAAATTAGAGTTCTAGATTATTATAGTCCCAGCTTATATTTTTGCAAGATAGATCAATATGCGTGAAGCTTGGTTAGTAAGCATTCATAAACATTCTGATATTTTCACCTTTTTAAGTAAATGGTAAATTGTACTCTTATACTGCCCTTTCTTTGTTGGTTTTTTTCATTTAGCTCCTAGAGCCATGGAGAAATCCAAAAACAGGAACTAGACAGTGCCTGAAATCGACTGTTTCGGGTTCCCATTTTCAATTGAACATTATCGTGGGGAAAGAGGAGTAAGCTGCAAAAGTTGGAACTTGGAAGGAAGAACACAGACAGTATGGCCTGGGCTGGATGGCAGTATCATGTTGAGCATCTTGTCTTGCTGATGTTTTGATTGTCTGAAGAAGAAAAAAATGAGCCATTGTTTTTTAGTCTGTTTATTATGAAACATCTTAAAACATGTTAAGAATATTAGGATTTGTGGAGTTCATAATGTTATAGCCAACTAGCTGAAGTTTGTGATGCTGATAATTGTTCTTGCATGTAATGCTTCTTCATCACTCTCTTTATAGGCTTCCTTTTCAGTAATGTCACTAATTTTCCCTTTTTGCCGGTTTCTTTACTTGGCCTCATGCTCAGCCTTGTTCCTCATTAATGGCTAGATTGGGCTGGGTTCGTACCGGGCCATAAATAGGTCTTGTTGCTGCCCGGCCTGGCCGTCTCAGATTTATGAATAACTCAGTCAACGTGATGCATTAAGATTATGTTCAACAGGCCATGTTCTTTAATCTGCGAGATTCTATTCTCTGCACATTGACTACCGCCCCATGTGGCAAAGATGTTGTCTCTTTGTGTTCTATATATAATTACCAGTCATAATCATGTTCAGCCGTCGGAGTGTAGGAGGTATAGACAACATGTTCAAGTGCTTCCTGTTCCTGGTATATTAACTAGAGCATAGAGTAGAGGCTGTTGTCTGTTTTGGTATATTAACAAACTGAACCGTGTTTAGATTACTCTTCATTTAAGTTCAGAATTTGGTTTGAGGTTGGATTGCCGTCCATCCAAGTCCTCCGAAAATCGGGTAGGCCGGGTTAGGTGGGTCGACCAATCTCTCAAGATTTTACTTATTTGGAATTAAAATAGAATCAAAATGAGGTAATTGCTAAATGAAGCACATGGATAAGCCACTTGCCGGGATATATATCAACACCTCGGAAGCTTTAGCTCAAAGGAACTGCACGGTATATCCCTTGGAAAGATGAAAGGCCCAAAACAAAAACTGAACTCAGATATTCCTAGGTCTCTGCTAGCCCGGTAGTTTATTTCAAAATATAAAAAACAAAAAGTATAAAAGTCATTTTCATAAAATCAAAAGGCAATTATGATATAATCCCAAGTTCAAAGCCAAAAATGATGTTTGCTAGCTAGATAGCACATTGGTGACTGGTTGGTACTTTGTCAATTTTCATAATTCAGGTCAGGGGAGATGCAATCAGATCCAGTAACTCAAATAAAGCAGCATCCGGCTCAGTGGATATACACATTGACTTTTGATGCATCAAAATACTTCCATCGATCACTTTCTTGTGGCAGGAATATTTGGTAGATTTGCTAAAATAATAAGTATATCATAATCTTCATAAGTGGAAGCAATAATTATTAATTTTATTTCAAGGGTAAGCCTTCCTTTCCAGTATTTAATTTCCCACTTTTATATATATATAAATAAAAACATCATCCAAATAGCTCCATTGCTGCAGCATTATCAAACCAAGCTTTCCGCCCACAATTCTTTATTTGTCATTATATTTGATGTGACAATTATTTTATATGAGCTTGATGAATGCACCTTTTGACTTTTCTGTTCTGCAATGTTGACCATTTTCTTGATCATGTGGTGTTTGTTGGCTTCAAGCCCAGGTGATGCTGTGGTTGGTTCATAATTCCTTGGATTATTCTTGTGAGGTTAGTGAGTGAGTGCAAAGCATAATCATGAGATTAATTACATTTAATATTGTTTATGACTTGATTTATTAATTCCAGATTCCATGAACCATCATGTTACTTTTGATTTCAATCATATGAAGTGGGTAGATTATGATGATGTTGTTGCTGACTGATAAAAAATCATAGCCCTTGATCAAGAGTTTTTATATATATATTTTTTGTCATTTTCTCCCCATCTATCATGGAACCTGTGATATTTGTTTTGAATGTAAATTTGAAGTAGCAATACTTTTGGTGGAAACTAAAGGGTGATTTCATAGATCTTATTGTCTATCAAATCAGACATATAAACTGCACCTCACTGTCCTAAAAATAACTGACAAAGTTTGTACTTAAACATGGCCTTGTCATTTGAGTCTTGCTAGCTTGGGTTTTGAGCATATAAGTTCGAGGTTGGGTTCATTTTTTATCATCCAATTTAAATTGGGTAAACGTATATTGTCAAAGTGTTATGGGAATTCGAACTTGAAATCACTAGTTTGCAAGTTAAGATTATTTTTCCATTTGGCTATACCCGTTAGCAGTTGTATGCGCATTTTGTTCCATAACCAATATTAGTAGTTCAATGTTTGATGTTTTGCTCACCAACACCATAAGTACATGCAATATTGTCTAGGAGAGTGATTTCTAGGGGAAACTTTACATCCATTTTGTACTTGTATGTTCTAGTATTTAAAATCTAAATTATAAGTGCGTATGTATAATTAATTTTAGACATAAGCACAAAATCAACACGAAAAATTGTAAACTATTCAAACAAATATCAAACGATATCCGAAGGGGTCGGTAAAATTAGTTGAAATCAATGATAAGTTAGTGGGAAAAAGCTGTGGTGGTTAGTGAGATTCGTTGGAATCATTTGTCCATTTGAAGTTGTTCGGTTGGGAATATTCTCGTCTGGTTAAAATTATAGCAAAGATTAAAAAAAAAATTATAATTTACAGTGCCCAATAATAAGCCCATCATGTGGCTCAAATCTTCCTCGAAGAAATAGACAGATTTCAGATGTCAGATGTGGCAGCAGTAAACTGTAAAAGAAATGTGATTGACGGCAAAGGTCATTCTTTGCTGGGCTGATAGTGGGGGACACAAGTACTAGTGAATTGCTTCTGAGTAATTCTTAGAAATTGGTAAATTTGTTCCTTAATGTTGAGCCTTGAGGCGACATATCCCATTAATGTTGATCAATTTTTGCAACGTTAGACATGATCATTTCACCCAAGTTGTAATCGTTTTTCAAACTTGATATCATAATTAAGATTGTTTCAACTTCGAGAAAGATGATGATCATTTCAATATATGCACGGTGTCACGTACCTTAATTATGATGTAATAGTCGGAAAATTCAAGTATAGAAATGCAGCTGTAATTTGAGTTCATACAATTCAATGAATTTTTCTATTTTTACCAACATGATAATGTATCACACACATTTTAGGGCGTGTAAAATTCATGTAGTTTAACTCGATTTCAATTAAAACCTTTATATTGGACTTAAATCACGAGCGAGGCACGTGACCACATCATCCATTCAATTGACGGAAATAAGGATATCTCCTCGAACTGCAAACCTTAGACAACTACAAGGTAAGATTGGAAAGAACAGGAACTACATGAAAGAAAGGTAGCTGTTTTGCGACCCCATCGATTGAACAATCGCTTTAACCTCTCGGCCACCCAATGTTTCCCAAAAATGTGTACACATTATTAGACCCTTTGAAAATAACATGAGCATCTCTCTCCATAGATCCCTTTTTTTGCCACTGGTGATGTCTATAGTTATGGTGGTTCTTCTAAAATGGGCCATTTGAGCTGTCATGGGAGCTGAGTGATCATTTTCATGTACCTGCTGGTAATGGAACAACTCATATGAATCAAGGTGCCATGAGTTGAGCTAACTCAGCTGAGTGTGACCTTTCATCATTTGGATTATCGGTTTCAGCATCTCTCACAACTGTCTAGTTTGTGTAACAAACTAATTCATATATTTTTTTGTCTGCATCTGGTTTTTAAAGTCAACAATGATTCATAGGAAATTGGTATACGTGGATTAGGTCAGTTAGTTAAGGTAGTGTGTCCGCCTCTTTGTATTCGAGTTCAATCCCCCTCTCCGTACATTAAAGACCCCTCCCCCTAAAAAGAAAAAAAATTAGAAAAGAAATCATCTGTATAACTACTGTCCTGTCTAAATTGAACAGTCTAAGTTTTGTTTGTGCAGAGTTATTTGTGTGCAAGAATTTGGAAAAAAGGAATTGGAGTACATGTCAAGTACTTGATTAAAAGAAGAATCTGTTTTTTTGTTGTTTTTGTGAAGTTAATGTTTCCACCTGTTAGTGGAAGGGAAGAGTAATTGCACAAGTGACGTTATAAAGAAAATTATGACATTTTCAAGTCAAAATTATAAATATAAAGGGAAGTACCACTCATACACATACCACTAGTAAAAAAAAATGGCAACAATCACCATTATTTGGTGATATTTGTGGCCATGACAAAAGACATTAGTCACCCTTTTTTTACTTCTTTGGTGACTTGTAGTCACTTTTAGTCACGAAATATCACCAAATAATAGTAATTGCTGTCACTTTTTTTTGTAGTGTACACATACACATGCTCTTGATGATTTCATTTGTTTTTCTTCACTTTCCTTTTTTTTGTTTTTGTTTTTTCTAAAAAAAAATCATGTACTTACGATCCTATAAAAAGAGCTAGTTAGACAACAATAATGTATTTATCCTTTCATTACGTGAGATAGACACAAAGTTATATACAACTAATTGTAGATAAACACTAGTGCTATAAAAGGAAACTAACAAGTAGTTGCATGCCCTATGTAGACTCGTTTGGTGGGTTCCCTTAAACCAAAGCCACTACCTGTGAGTCGATAACTCATAGATCAACGTATACATCGACATTAATTAACGATTATTTATATGCGTCAACGATACAAATGAACATTTTCTTTTTTATGGCAAGACAGTGTTGTTGTTGTCCATCATTCTCATTTCCTCTATGCCCTAAACAGGTCCCAACAGCAATGAAGACTTCTTCTTATTTGCATTGACACATTCCTTTCAATCCTTCTTTTAAGTACGTTTTGGGCATAAATAGACTCTATGCATACATTTATATATATATATATATAGCCCTCAACAACACATTCACTGTACTGTATATGCTGATCAAAGCATTCATTTTCAGCAGTGCCTTGACACAGCTCATATATATATATATATATGAGCTGTATATATGCTGCCACATTGCTGCGTACGAATCAATGGCTGCAAATCTTTCTTTTTAAAGCCATCGTCGTGTTCTTCCTACTACCCCATTTATTTTATGCATATGTGTCACAATTTTGGTATTTAATTTTTTCACCTAGCTACGTACGACATGAATTTAATTCTAATTGATGCCGTTTGATACCGATTGATCATGTTTTTTTAAGTATGTTTGCATTTAAGTTTCAGCAGCTTCCAAAACATTGCTGGTCCTGCGGAAATGAAATCTGGGAACGTGCATGGCTAATATTTTCATTGCATGTAGAGAGGGAGAGAGAGAGAGAGAGAGATTGATAAGGATGGTTTAATTAGGAG